AGGGATGCTCAACGCAGAATTAAAAAATTATAAGGAGTGAATTGAAGGAGTAGCTGTCAGATCTCAGCAATTTGGCGCGGTCACCACCATCATCACCGTCATTGGATGCTCGATTCAAACCCTCAACCAGAAATTAGGCTTCTCTCGACAGACGTGAATCACTCTTGTCAAGCAGGTGGAAAAATTCGCGCGCATCTCACACGCTCATACCCATGCACCGCAAAAAACACATAAGAATAAGCTTTTTACTCAATTGCCAAGGCACTCAAGCCTAGCAGTTGACCCCCAAGTGAGGAAATTGCAACCCTATATCCCTCTATTCTTCATTTATTTACCCTTCTCTGTGCCATTATTGTATAATCAGGGCCTACGTCCCATGTTGATTTTGATATTTCAATGTGATCGAGTATGATTTGTGGTTTTGTATGAAACACTTGTATGATAATGTTCATGTAAGACCGTGGGATTTTATGCTTTGGGTCAGCGCCATTAGCTGAACCAAAAACAAGTGCTTTTGTTCATACTAGATGGAGATTTCTAGTTTTACCTATCTGAGCTAGGTATTTACTATTCCTCCTCTTTATAAATCCAATTTTCAAATGGGTGCCCTCAGTTGATGTGGTTGTGGGCGAAGATTAGGCCTCTAATTTATAAGCAAGCGGTTTCAAACACCGGATTGTTTTGCTTTTAGAAATTTTATTGAACTTTTTTAAATAACAGATTAATGGTTTTTTAGGCCATCTAATTGATAGAGGCTTAACCGACCTCAAAAAGTCAAGACCGTGGAGACTTTATTTAAAATTTAAGCATTATTAGTTATAAAAAACTATAATAGCGATTGAGGGACTGCGAGATCCAAGGAGAGATAAAACAAATATAAACTGAATAATTGCTTTAGCGAAATTCTTCGAGGTGTTACACAATACCTCAGCCGATTAATCGAATCTAAATACCGCTAAAATTGCTCATTAAAATGAAAGAAAATATATCTTTCACTGTACCTTAATGTTAATAGCATTCATAAAGCCAAGGCTATATGATTTGTCGCACAGAAGAATGCAAAATATCTGACCATATCAAACGAAATAAAACCCAGTGAATTACCACCAAAAATAAGAGAAGGCATTTGGTCTTACAGTGACGAAAACTAAGTCTCACTTTTGGGTTTAATGATGTTCCAATGCGTTAGTTTTTATCAAAAAGTAAAGTGGAGTCCTTACAATCTTTTACACGGGAATAAAGTAATACGCAAAGGTAATGTGTCTATTTGAGATTGGTGCACGGCACAATAACGACTACGATATTGGAACGGCTTTATGATCACTTTTTGATCTTGATCAATGTATTTGCATATTTACGAGTCATTTAAATGGAGGGATATTCAATACATTTCATGCATTAAAGATCCTCAAATTACATTTGCATTCGACAAGGTTGTCAGATAATTGATCAACCTTTTGAAAACCTTCGAGGAGTGGCTATTATGCAACACGTCAACAGTTTTACCAATTCCCTCCAAAAGTGGCCAAACAACCAGACATAGATGGGTTGTTTTATTGTTTAACGAATGAACAAATTGGACAGAAATCAATCCCAGTTGCAGTGTCAGTGAAACTTAAACGCACTACACGGTGAACTGATTTAGGTCCAGCTGGACGGACAGATTTCGCTACAGTTATTGACTAAGCAAATGTAGTTTCAGGTGTGTGCCAGCAAATGCTACATCGCCTGGTTGCTAGAGCCGATCCCCTAGAGACTCTCCGCTTGCTACCTCACCACTTCGCCTTCTCACCAGCGTAATAACTGTCGCTTTGGTATAATTTGAGTCGCATTAAGATAGGCGCTTTATTTCTGCCATGTCACTAATATTCTTCATAGCCTGTTAGTGCTTTGTATCTTATTAAAACCAAATGTTCCCTTACTATCATTAAAATAATTAATAGCATTCCAACATTGTTGCCGCAGTGCTCATAAAGTACCTGGATTGATTCAAATGACAAAGTGGTACAAAATAACACTGTTTTAGTTAATCCAAAAATAATGAAGTACATCAAAATGGCATAATTTATTGACTGGTTAACCTTTTTTTAAGAACTTTGCTATCAGCGACCATTCGCGAGAAGATAATTTTATTGACGAAGGCTATTCCATCCTGAGGCATAACGAGGATTCAGGGGATAAACGGACCCAGTCGGAAGGACTCGTCGGTGAATGTGTAGGATTTAGGTATGAAGTCGATCAATTGCAATAAATAATTGGATAATTTTTGCCTAAATAAGTTGTTTTTTGACAATTTCTGGTCACAATTTCTGCCTATTACATTTAACTCAGCATCAGCACTTAGGTGTTTCACCCTACATTGTAGTAGCCGAATGTTACGCATCGTGTAGGAAGGTTAAGCTGTGATTGACACAACGTAATAGATCTATTGTATTAGCAATCTGAAAATAATCACCCTTTTTAAGTTCTAGAATGTGATAGATACATCAACGGTTGATGAATATTGACCTCAAATTAAAGTAACAAATTATCGGGCTCACTACGTTGGTAGATGCTCCTCTGAAACCTAGTTAGTGAACTTGTCTATGAGAGGAATCACACAAAGGTCGCGATTTTAATAACTGTTAGTCATTAGAAAATTTGCAGAAATAATTTCTAATTAATTTTTCATCATTAGCAATTTAATCAATATTCCCTCCCCAAATGTAACATTAATTTTCAACTTTTCTTCCCTAAAATTATTCATTCAAATTCCAAGTTTGTGTCTTCGATTAAATTGAATAAAATTGAATATAATTCTTGAGTTGGTTTGCACTTTTTGTGATTGCCAAGGCAAAATTCGGCAGTTTTGGACATTGGACCGGTCGCCTTGTTCGCAGATTAGCTCGTGTGATACGGAGCTCTGGATCAAGCATTTGGGTAGAATGTGCTGACCACAAACTGCTCCCTACTTAATAGCAACTTGTCTGGAGCGCCTGTTATTAAACACGCTGCAATTAATCAGGACGGTACAAATGGAGATCAGGGTAGATACGGGATGAGGTAGAGTTAACTAGCAACTTGTATTCCTGCACCCGTACATTTATTCGCAGGACGTTCCAGCGTGTTCCCGTGGGCAGAGAGGGTAGGAGGTGGGCTTGTCAAGTCAGCCTGAGTGTGTTTTTAGACCTTTTCGCCTGTTGCCTGTCTCGTTCCCGTTGTTCGGAGGCTATCACAAACACACACAGCTCCTCTCATACCACCTAGGGGAGGTATGCTTTACCCTCTTTCTTGCGAAGACGACCACACTATCTGTATGGAGTGAAGTTCGCTTCTACTAAAGAGTAAAGGGTAAAAATCAGTTCTCGCATAAAGGATTTCATGGGATTGGAACACGATCATTAAAATTAATTTCAACAATAAATGAGATTGGATTATGGTCAATCTCTTCACTTTTATCCCTCTTAAAGAATGCCTGTTTGTGTAGTTAAAAATCATGTTTAAAATGGAGTAAAAAATTGTCTCTCTTATTTTCGACGAATCTAAAGATTCTGACAAGCGACTGGGCTGCAAAACGACTAAAGGTAGTAATGATGAGGCTTTAAACAAAGTAAAATCATTTATATGCACTCATTCAACTACCACCCGACTTGTGAGCATAAGATTTCTGACGATGGGAATTGGTTTGCTTATACTCAGGTCGGTAGAATGATACCCACGCACATCATCGTAATCAGGCATAGTGTTTTAAAGTAATTAAGACCACCCAATCACCTCTTTTCTCTGCGTCTTTTATCATCAATTAGACGAAAGTAGATACTGGAAAGCCGTCACAATAAGTGGACCTAAATAGTTGCAGAAAGACGCCCTGCGAGCAGTCCATGCCACTGTCTCATGCAGTAATCGAGATCAGACTACCACTGGTTCCTGCCAGGATGTATTGCCACTAGCGTAAACAAGCCACTAAGGTGCAATATATTGGTTTTAATGCCTCTAACTTGCATCAGGGATCAACTTGCTGAAAAAGGGCATTTTGTTAACTGGTATTAATTGATATAACGAATGTTGGAGACGCTGAGATGCAGAGATTAGAGGAATGGGGCTGTGGTAATACAAGAATAGTCTAAAAATGTGACGTCTATATAACCAGTAGGTAAAAGGGAATGCATTTTCACTTTTAAGTTCCATACCTTTGGTGGTGGAGTTGTTTATACCTACCGCAGTCCAATTCAATGCTGCTTACTACATTTGCTATTAAGGGTTCAAAGGAGTGTAGCTCAACACAATTAGGGCTTTTCATATGACACCCATTGCCGTTAATTTTTTGGCAAGTTCAGCAGCAGCCCATAGATAAAAAATGTAATTTCATCACCATCCCTTATTTGCTTTATTGTTTTAAAGACAAGCAACCTGTTAGCAGCAGGATTGAGTGCAGCCACAGTTGTCGAAATTGGATGAAGACCAAATGCCATGCATTGGTGATGCTGGACTCAGTTTAGAAAGCCAGGACGCCATATATGAGTGTGAAATTCCTCATAAGTTTGGGACGTAGGCTTTGGTATTGAGAAATAATTTAGAACTAAATGTATGGCAAAATAATAAAATAGTGAGATAATGAGAGGATTGCCTAAACGACTTGATGCTAAGTGTAATTTAAAAACGAGTTCTGTTAGAGGTCATTATCAATGAAGGCAGTGGTTGGAAATCAAACATTTCGGAGCCGAATTAGCAAATGCTTCGTTGCAGATACTAAATTCCGGGTACTTGCAACAATTTTGCTGTGCTTCTCCGCTCAATTTGTTAAGCTACTTTACCTAACCGCGAGAGAGGTTTTTTACAGCACTACTGCTACATTGATATAAACCTCACTCGCTGTAAAGCAAGATTTGTTAATTAATTGACTGACTTCAATTACTGTGCAGATAAACCTCAAGCATCTTGCCAATTGACCAAAAAGGAGAGTATTCAGAGCACATCACCCAGTTTGGCCAAACCGATTTCCATCACTGGCACGTGCTCGATCACTCATTCCCTGTCCAAAATTGTATGCGCATACTGCGACTTTGATCAGCAGCTCGCAACTAAAAAGTTACACAGACGGGTTCATGGAGGCTAACGTTGCAAAATTGGGGTTGTATATGTGCACCCTCATGTGGGTAAGCGGTGCCTACCTTTCCCTGTACCAACCGGCGCATTTACAAATTGCTGTCCCGGTTCAGTAGACTAAGCTGGAAAAATTCGAGTAGAAGCAAGATAGCGAGAGCATTTTTAGATAGTTTCCTGCTGGCATTGCTAGAGCCTTTCGACTTGTAAATGATGAAATTCCAGGAGTGCAGTGATTTACCAATTTGTGCATCTCTTTTGTGCCATACACTGGGTGGGTTTTTAGGGACTTTTAGTGGTTCTGGAGAGAGTAGGAGTGAGTGACTAAATTTTCTATGGCTAGTCTTGAATCTAACATTAATGACTAACATGCTTTCTTGGCGAATTTGTATCACTTAGGCTTCCAATGAGAGATTCTTTGTTTGAGTTGCCATTCGGCAGAATTTTATTTATCTTAGTTCTGTACGCTTATTACGAACCTACGCCTAAATTCATTCCCCTTTTAATGCCGTCACGAATAACTTAATTGTGTATCTGTCATAACAGCACTTTGCATACTTGCATTATATGAAATTTGCACGTATAAATACGATGGCTCTGAAACAGTTTACATTGTGTAAGTAGTCTTAGGGTACCATTAGTAACAAGCTAAAACAGTAGCAAGATGCATTCTCTCCAACAATGATCCACACAAATAATTAAAATCAGAAAGTGGTGGCAAAATAATTTGCAAATAAAGTAAGAATTTTATTAAAAGTTGGTTCTGAACCAGTCGCTTTTAGTTTATAAGAAAAGAATGCTAGATTTCTTTGTACTGGTGAATCTGATTATGATAATTTGTAAATAGCGAGCGTAGGCATAAAATAAGTTTATTGGTTCCCCACAAGAATCCGCAAATTGATTCAACTAGTTGTCATCTAAAATGTCATAGTTCAATCAGAATCATTTATCGAGAAGACAATATTTATGGGTACGCAGCAAGTTGGATGCTCTGTTTGGATAAACGGAAAGAAAAAAATACACTAGTGTGTTTACAACAGCCGCGCTTTTATTTACGTTAGAGAGAGGACGAACGGACGAGTAAATAAGCCGAGGAGAACATTTATAGGTATATGTCTGTGTGCATGAGTGTGCACTGAAAGGATTGAAGTGCCAAAGGCGCAAAAGCTAGCCCTCTGAAGGATAAGTAAGTCGATGCCAAAATCAACGACTTTTCAAATGGAATTAATCACACTTGTTTGCCCTTTTAATTGTCACTATCCAACGATTGGGTAAACATGGCGGGGCGATTTTGAGAATTTTGACATTATCCTCACTTTTTAGTGTTTGGTGTTTCCGAAGCAGACAACTGAGACTGATCATAAATCAACGAATAACACGAGATCAACTTTTAATTTTAATGTGTACAAAGTCAAAAAACAATGTGAATGACTAAACAGGAAGTAAAATTTCCGATTATGCGTCTAAGAATCGTCTCTTACCCATATGAAACAATTTCACATCACTTTTTTCATTCAGACTTTTGTACATGTTACAAAATCGGAACAGAGATATTTTAGATGAAGTAATTCTGAAGCCTTTTGACCTAAAGCGTAAATAGAACATCGATACGACTGCTAAAATGATCATTTAAAAACAAATTAGTCGCATTTGTCAAAAAAATTAAAATTAAAAAGAAGGTAGTAAAGTCCAAATCATAGAGCAACAACCTGAATTCTTCTGAGTTTTTTATGAACATTTCACAACTTCGGTGTGTTTTTTGGGGCAGTGCTTGGGGAACAATCAACAAATTACATTGATTATTTCACTTTTTATAGTAAAATCTATGTCTTTGCAAAATATATTTTGTCTTTAAGTGTCAATAAAAAAGTGGCAAATACATTTATGGAGGTAAGGGGATACTTGTAATGTGTTACAGGCTACAGCTGAACTATTATGAGAATGGTATTTTTAACTGTAAACACACAGGGTGCTTCGCATAACCAACAACAGTGAGCAGAGATGGAGTAAAACAAGGGATTTGCCAGCTCTAAGTCTCACAACCGCAGAAGTGCTCGTAGTAGAAGCCATCAAATTAAACTAACAGTCGAACCAAAAATATCAAACCATAATAGTGTCTACTGTACCTCTCTTACCGTCTGCAAGTGAGAGTAGACTTGTAAGCTCAATTCTGTCCTATTAGCCCTGTCTTGTTTGTAAAATTGCTTTCCAAACATATTCACAGCCCGTAGCAAAAATTTGTCTACGGAGGAGGCATTAATGTGGGTTGAGTCGCAGCTCTAGAAGTAATGTTACTCTCTATGGAAGAGGCTAACACTGGTCATTGCCAACAGTTCATCTTCAGTTAGTTGGTTAGTTTAAGCCAACGAATGAAAAAAAAGGGCTTTACTGATGGGGAGGAAAATTCATTTTCCATGGGCCCTTCACAACAGTTAGTTGGTGTCTCCTTTAGACTAACAACAAACCCTTTCGACTTCTAAAACAGGTTATACTGTTCATTAGGCAGAATTCAGCATTAATTGTTGCGTTGAATTTGCTGAATTCAGGATGCTGATGCCTAGCCCATAGAAACCACATTAGTCAGCGTTCAGGTTATTTTTTTGAAGTTGTTACTAAGCTTAAGATCATACCAGTATCTTAATCCTAAATATATGGACGGACTGAGACACTAGAAATATTTCCGAAATAAGGAGGGCCAGAGGTGCCGTTATAGCTTTTTACCCTTTAATAACTCCTAGGTGTCTTAGTAGCAGCATATGCCTATGAGTACCTAATTGCAAATAATTTGCCTCCGATCCAGTGTTCATGTTCATCTTGTGATGCACCTGTCTGAAGCGAAATTAGGAAGGGAGCATTTGAGTCAGTTGATTAATGAAGCGTCACCAACATGGGGATGGACTAAAAGTATTGCCTTTTCTACCACCCTCACCACTCCTTACCTCTCCACCTGTCTGCTTAGCCGTCTGCGTGATCTCCGTCCGGCAATAGACAGAAGGGAAGAGAGGGAAGGGGTGATGTGGGAGACACATGTGCGTTAGTCATTTTTCGCACTCAACTCAATCTCCTTGCTTGGTAGTGCTGCTGTTGCTTTTTTGTTTCTGCTGCCATAGCTTCATTGATGGATGGAAGGTTGATTTGATGGAAAGGCAAATTCGAAAGAAAAATCTATTGAGGAAGGTGAATCATAATGGCTACAATCCTGGAGCTCTCTATAGGCAATTACATTTAATTGAAGGTTGGGTCTGATTGTAATGCAATCCTGTAAATTAAAACAGTAAACTATTTTTATCCAAAGAAGAAGCAGCCACTTGAATGGGCTAAGGTTTATTATTTTGACCCATCATATTACCTCGTTATTTTGGGAATAATTTCATAAGACAACCTTGCTTTGTTTAGATTTTTTTAGATAGGATAGCTTTACCAAATTTTAGTTTATTTTTAAAGATAAAATAATGTTGCGAGTCATATATATGGCAGATACAATACATTCAATTATCGCAATAGTTACCCTTCATTAATTAATCATTGGCGCCATTTCTAGGTTGCGGATTTTTAATTGTATTTAAGAATATATGGTGTTTGCCGCATGTTCTGACTTTTGAGATGCTATTATACAATGACCACTTGTTTCATATCATTCTGTAAAGATTAGTTAATATCCGAGGACATCTTAGCCAGTAAAAATCTATGTACTGAAATACAGTGTAAACAGTTTTAAATAGCCTTTTTAATAACACCAGACTGTACACTTGAAGTCTTCACTATCAAGGTATCATGAATCAACTGCTTGGAAGTCACTCATCTTAAAATTGCGTTAGTTCCCGTCTACGAAAAAAAAGGATTTTTATATTTGCTTTAGTACCTGAAGAGGAGATGTGGAAAACAGCTAGCGATATTGAAGAAATAATATTAATATTTCGTCTAAACGGTTCCAAAACTCTAATCTTTAAATGATGGGGGTAGAAAAGTTGCAGACAAATCCATTACAAACAATAATTCTGGATTATTCTTTGTGGATCCACTACTTTAAATGCTCAATCTGAGGAACAGGAAAAAAAAGCGTGGTTTTTAAGTGGCAATTATAGTTTCCTGTGGTTTAAATCCTAGGATCACGTGTCAAATTGTGAATAGGCTGCTCTAGCAAAAAAGCATAGCTTCAAAAATAGTCTTTCCATTTTGCCATTTTTGCCCTTCTCCGTGCATTTGTGAGGCAAATGGTGAGGCTGTCAACGCCTCAGCTATTTTTCCTACTGGCACTGAGTCTAGGGGGTGATTTCTGTGCGAAAAAAGTGATTGCGTAAAGTTTATCACGGGCCGTAACATTGGCATAAATTATATTTAAACATTTTGGCGTTTCATTCTACCAAACATTGCAGGGATATTGTCATCCCACCCTCCACATTAAAATCATTAGCAAGCACACACAAAAGTGCAAAAGCGAGCAAATTCACGCCAACGGTAGCGTCAAAGACAAAGATGATCCTCAGCTATGAAGAGTAAAATCTATTTTACCAAGACGAGTCAGTGTCGTTCAGGTCCTCGGTCGATTTGTCATACATCAATGCATTAGAAACTAGTACTTGGTGGCATCTTTAGTGCATTAATGTAGTAGGATTTGCTAATTTTTAATTAAATGAACTGGTCACGATATTAGACGCGTCTGTGTGCTCTGTTACTAAGTTCAAATGTCCATCACCTTCCATCCTTGCACAAAGCCGAAATTTGCTGTAACGTTGTTAAGATGAAAGCGTTTCGGGCCTATGATTGAAAGATACAGTGAAAATCAAAGAAAAGACTTCCTCTAGCGTACCCTTTTCAAGTCTAAAAAGAAGCCTTTAACGACAAAATTAACAGAAACGCTAAAATGGGTCTTTTTTCTACAAAAAAGTCTGGAATATTTTTCCAGTTTCATTACTGTAATTGACCACGATGAACCCGTCAATTGACAGAGGTGAATTCTTGACCTGACTCCTGCAGACGCTGGCTCGCCTTGAGTGCATACTCAAGGGGTTTCAAATCCAAGTTATGATTGTTTTTAAAAATGTCGTCTCTTGTAATGTAAAAAATATGGGACCCAAAATCTTTTCATATAGGTCGAAAGTTTGGTGTGTGGGTGCGTCTGTTCAGAACTGCGAATTTCATCAATGTGCTTTGTCTTCCTAAGGTAGCAGTACAACCTTGACGCATTCACTACAGGGGTCCCACGTGAACGCTGGCCACTAAACTCTGACGATTCATTGCTCAAACATGGCACTAAGTGCCTGTGCTTTTTTGATCCATCAACCCCCTTCTCCAAAATCAAAAAAGTTCAATTATCTTAGCACCAAAACCATCTCATATCTATCTTATTGTTCCAACGTAAACAAATCTGTCTACTACACGAATCGATGCACCCGGTTATCATTCACTGACAAGGGACGCTCTACATACTTGAAGGTGGGTTAGAGCGGATTGCAATATTTTAAAACACGTCACCAAGATGTAAATTGTGCGAGCATAACAGTAGATACGATAGCTCAAATAATTTCCAAATTCACCTGGTTAGTGAGGTCTTTTGAAAGGTGCAAAATAATTGCAATGCTTTCGCCACTATGATTTCGCTGCTTGTTACGCTTGAAGGTTGGACAAAGTCAGGTTATGTCATGTCATACTAAGCCAAGTCAAGTCAGGTCGCACTTGGCTAATGGGGAGAGCAGATCGTCGCCTACAACGAAGGTCACAGTGATTAGGCAGGAAGCCTATATCCCTAAGGTGTTTCAAGGCGGGACTTGGGAAATATTGCCACGCTGTAGCCTTTAAACGAACACTGCATAATTTAGTGCCAACGGGTACACATACAAGCAAGCACATACGCTTGACCCATGTTGAACTAGCTTGTGGATAAGAGCTTAGCGGATGTTTGACCCTAGAAGGACAATTTTATGGGGCACAACTGCTCTATTGGTACTTAATGTTGGAAACTATCACAGCAGGAAAAAGTTTAGGTGATATTGGGTCAAAAACAGGTGTTAAAATAATGATGGCCAAGTTTTTAAGGATAAATTCTAGGGACCCATACCACTGCCAGTTTCCTTTGACGGCTCTGGAATTTGGCATAATCTGATAATCCTATGAAACTATGCAGAAGGAAAAATACGGTTCATTTTTGACTGAAAAGGCTGTTGTGGAACCATTACGGTGGATAAAAACTGAGATTTGAATTAAAAATTACTTACCAATGGAATGGAATGGAAATCAAAACGGTAGTTCCGTAGGTGTCCCTTGTTTGGAAACGACTTGTGCCGGCTTCCTGAATTGACGCCTAATTTAAATGAAGTGGTTCGTAATTAATGACCTATTGTAGCGGAATCACTTTTGTTACAAGCTTTCGACTTATTTCTAACAGTTACTTCTATAATTAAATGGTCAGAAACTTCTTCAGGGACAACTCAGAAACATATTATTAACATTTTCTGCAAGCCTTTCTCAAAGTACAGAAATCCTGATTCCTGTGTCTGATTATCAGCCCTAAGCGCCAGAGAATGAAGGCATCTGTTGTAGATGTTTGAGTGGATGGACACCTTTATCAGAAGGGCCGTTGAAACTGCATTAAATGTTGAACAGAATTAGAATTGATAGAATCCTAAATGTCTACAAATAATTCCTGTTTTCTGTATGGCAACAATAATTTTACCTCCAGACTTGCTTGCCTCACAACATTTTTAGAGGCAACTCGGAAGCCATGCTAATACCATTGATCAAAATTTAAGTGCCATTTTCTTTATTCTATCTTTTTACGAATGGAGACAATAAATAAATCTCCTTGGGTAAGTTGTAAATACCGCTTCCGACTAAAATCATTGAAAGTGTTTGATGGAGGGAACGTTAGTAGATAAACTGGTTAATGACTTTCAATAAGCACCCGCCTTAACTAGTATGCTATGCGAGGGGGTAGCAACTGGACAACACCTCTTGTATTTGAAGGGTTATAAAATTGCCTGTTTATGCCCTTACAGGTACTTGAATTATGGCAAAAGACATGCATTTCCCTCAAAGTTGTATGCATCATCATTCATCCCTGAATTCCGAATGGCTAAGTGCTTGCGGAATAATAACAAAATTTGATTTCCTATTTACTCTTGGTATCTAATGACACTGTCAACAATAAAAGAATCTCTCTTTTCAGAATCATTGACTTGCAAATATCGCCTACTTTACAGTCTAAAATTTGACTAGGAATGAGTGAGATATGTCAACAGGAAAATTAAGAAAAGGGTTAGCAGGATTGGATTTTAATGAAGGAAAATCTGCAAATATTTATGGTAGCAGATTTACTTAAAAGTCACGTGTTCAATCGTACTTTTCTTCTCCTAGCTCGATCTTGAAATCTCATTTTTCCCATCACAAATGTCTCAAACACTATGATTATTAAAAAATTTGACTGGTTTAATAATTTTTGCGTCCAAATCATCCTGACTCCTGTGTTTTCACAGCTGCAATGTTCTTTGAAGCAGGAATAAGTTATGGTGAGAATGATCCTCTTCGCTTTGATCTTGCTGTGTGATTATCACAGGCAATAATATTTTATTTTATGCTAAGTGCATGTGCTCCATATTTATTATTGTTTTCTAAATCACTTTACCATTTAATTTTAGATAGTCCCATGAAATGCGTGGATGCTGACGCTGATTAGCAATCGCTATGTGTTAAATTTACCGGGCTTTCGGCGTTATGCCACTCTTCAGAATCCGAGGATTTTTGCCGCCATCTCAAAAAACGCTTTTGGTTCCAGGAAAAAATAATAAATTATGCTTTAGTTTCTTCTCTCACCTAATTTCTGTCACAAAACAAGCTACTAAACGAGAAATTATGTCTTTACGTCCAAAAGAGCAATAACGCTGCAATTATTAACGAGGTGCATATAACCACTTGTTTGTCGAATAAATTACAGACTTTGTACTGCACGAAGGACTGGAGCGATTTTCACACCTTTTGATTAACTCTTCCATCTACACTGTAGCGACAGCGCAAAACTACTTCCCTTTTTCAG